AGTGAAGCATCAGTACTGATTAGAACAATTCCACTGAAAAAGAATATTTCATAGAGCTGGGCATGGTGGCTCATGCCTGTATCCCAGCACTTGGGAGGCTGAGGCAGGAGGATCATTGGGAGTTTACCAATCTAGGCTACCAAGTGAGCTCAAGGCTAACCTGAACTGCACAGCAAGACCTTGTCTCAAAAAGACCAAAAAAATAAAAAATAAAAAAAATTTCATAATCTCCTATTTTAAAAAAAGTTACAATCTCTATTTTGAAGAGAACTAAAATAGAATAGGGGAAGGCTGAATTTAAAGACAATAATTTTCACATGTTTTGTGAGAAATACTTAGTTTTATAATGAAACTACAAGCATTACACTCCAAAATTAAACAATCATACACATAGGCTGAAAAGCCTCCTCAGCATTATTAGAAAACTGGGGTACAGAACTGGTAGAATTAGTATCCACAAGGGGATGGTGGCATATGCCCATAGTCCCAGCTACCAGGGAAGAAAAAGCAGGAAGATCACTTGAGCCCAGGAATTACAGACTAGCCTGAGCAACAGTGAGACTGTCACACACACACACTCTCATTAAATTCTATTGAAGTACCATTTATATCTACAAAATATGCAACTCCTTTTAAGTTTACCCTTTACGTAATTCACAAAACTATGTACCTCTAGATGGTAGAAAACACAAACTCATAATAAGGCTAAATAGATGACTGATTTCACAGATTTCAAAACTCCAGTTTCTAATATCAGACATAATAGTATCTGGCTGTTCTGACTTCACTACATTTCTATCTTTTGGGCATATGAAGAATAAAGATACAGTATTTATACTATTGAGAAGTTTGATCTGCTACCAAAAATGGAAGTTTTTTTTAACTTCCAGTTTCACCCACTTAGAAGTCTACCCTGGAGATGTAGCTCAGTGGTAGAGCATTTGGCATATGTGAGGCCCTGGGTTTGATCACCAATACAGAAATTTTAAGAAGTCTAGAAATAGCTAGATAACAGTGGTAGGAACCTGTAATCCCAGGCTGAGGCAAAAAATCACAAGTTTGAGGCTGGTGTTGGATACACAGTAAAACCCTATCTCAAAAAACCAGTTTAGGAGCCAAGAACATAGCAATATAGCTCAGAGGCACAGCGACTGCCTGGCAAGTACAGGTCCTCAGTTTGAAACACACACACACACACACACACACAAAACAAAATAAAAGAAGAAAAAGGAACTATTTCCTCCACCTTTCTAAAAAAGTTTAGAAAGGTAAGCTTGGGTACAAGACAACCAACGTTATCTATAAATTCTAAAATTTTCAGGTGTAGAAATAAAACATACTTGCTTTCTGATGATCTAAATGTTTTATTTTCTTTCATGGATTAACCTGTACCATTCAATATGTTTGAATATCAAAATGTGTAACAGTTACTATACATTTAACTTTTTTCCCAATCCTAGGAACTGAACCCAGGACCTGTACACCGAGCTACAACCTCAGCCCTTATTATTTTTGAGAGGGTCTCACTAAATTGCTAAACTGCCAAATCTAGGCAACTTTCAATTTTCCTGCCTCAACCTCTCAGAGCCTAGGGAATACAGGAATGTGCCACCACACCCAGCCATGTGTAACTTTAAAACACATCATTCTGGCTAGAAGTGACAGCACATGCCTGTAATCCTAGCATTGAGGAGGCTGAAGCAGGAAAATGGTAATACTAGCTGGGCTATGAGGCCAGCCTAGACTATATAGCAAGATCCTGTCTCAAAAAAAAAAAAAAAAAAGAAAGAAAGAAAGAAATCATTCTGATTTTTATCTTGCCTGGTACAACCAAATGATTTTCTCAAAAAGGTGGGGAAATGGCAGTGAAAGATCTTTTAGAGAACAAATATATTAACTTCACAGATCAGGTATCCCTTTGTAATAAAAAGCTACACAACTGTTTCTCAAGTGGCATCCATAGGGTTCCAAAATCTCAATTTTAGTTGTGAGGGATCCACAGATTAAGTAATAAAACTGATCTATTATCACTCATTTGCCTAACCATACTAAATGTGGAGATTATAGCTAATAAAAAGGACAATTATAAACCAGTGCTATTATAAATATTCTTAAAAATATGTTTCTAGTGAAAGTGGGCTTGATCTGTTGCCATGACATTATTTAGCCACCTGGAACACTTCCTGTATGTGAAGAAAAGTATTCTGTGTGGCCACCATGGACTCAACTGTCAGTTTCCTGATTAACTGGCAAATATTAAAAGAAACCACTAAAAACTGCTTTTTAAAAATTTCATTTTCAGCCGGGCATGGTGGCTTATGCCTATATCCCAGCACTGGGGAGGCCGAGGTGGGAGGATCATTGCGAGTTCGAGACCAGCCTGGGCTACAAAGTGAGCTTGAGGCCAGCCTCAAGACCACATCTCAAAAAAAAAAAAAAAAAAAAAAAAAAAAAAATTCCATTTTCTCAAAAATGCAAATCAAAGAAGAAATGATATAGAAAAAGAAGTTTTTAAAAAATCAAAATGATTCAGATGGAATTTTTATATTCTGTTTGCATTTGAAAATGCTTGGGAAAAAAAAAACCCACTTAAGTAGAAAGATCAATCTCCATTCTGTCAGTTAAATGGAATTTGACACTTTCTGAAGAGAAGGGACAGAATAACTTCAAATTTTATGTATGAAAACGTACGACTTAACAGCAAATATTCGAGGTTTTTTTAATTTGGGTATGTAGATCAATCAATTTAATCTCCCTGGCAAATAAATCGAGTTATGGGGTATGTCCATACTTTATTCTCACTACAACTGGAGAAAATCAAATATGCCCAACTTTCTAAACTATTATTTCAGGTAACCAAGGGGTTCTCACAGTATCAACTACCTAGGTTTTGAGTTCTGAGACTTTATTGCAGAGCATAAGCAAAACCCCTATTCCCACCCCACTCCTCACACACACTCACACAGCCAAGAAAACACTTGAGAGAAATAACATGGGCAGTATTTATTAATAAGCTCTGCACATATTCCTTAACTATAAGCCTTTCTGCTTCATATCTTTCAGTCCTGAGATCAAGTGCTCCAGCACATGGCTGCAATTCTGTTACTGCATTTATTTAAAACTACAAGCCTTTCTTTCCTCTCTCCAAAAGTTCTAGGACTACCTGGTAAGGGGCTGTAGTCCTCTAATGAATTGCAGTACTAAATTCTCTTACAAGTCAAAATAGTGAAAAGTAATAGAAAAATCCATCGTTAAAGCACTCTCAAATTCAATTTGATTTCCTGCCTACTGCATTAGATGCCTAAGACTAAATTTCACACATTTCAAAAAAGTGAAAACAACTGAAGCATAGGGATTACAGATAATACTAGTCAATTTATTTAAAGCACTTAAAACCACTTGTATAGGACAAGTCAAAACTATGTTTTTCACCTAGGTGAGGTGGTAGACACCTACAGTCTCAATACTCTTGGAGATTAAGGGAGGAGGATCACAAGTTCTAGATGAGCATGGGAATTTTGTGAGATTTGTCTCCAAAAAATAAGTTAATTAATTAATTAAGAAGGGCTACTGGGGGAAGTGGCCCTCCGTATCAAAACACAACAAAACAAAAACGTTCACCAATTTTTTAACTTTAACAGCTCAAATCTAGAGTCAGACTTTTGGGGGGGAGGGGGGCTGTCTCGATGTGTAGTTTAGGCTGGCATTGAATTCATGGCGATTCTCCTGCCTCAGCCTCCCAAGTGCTAGGATTAATTACAGGTGTTCACCACCATACCCGACCCAGTAACTAACTTTTAAAATCACCTAGTTGTATACAAAAATTCTCAGAATGAGAAACAGAATGACACATGTACCACTCAGTATTATTAAAGATTAGACTTTCCATCAAGTCTTAGAATGTTAAAGTCTTAACATTTTATTAAACTCTGCACTTTTAAACACTGCTGAAATTAGAATAGGAAGCAGACATCCCAACAATGTATGCTTACATTTATTTGACTAGTTTCTAGAACTAAAATCCCCTTACTAGGTAGTCCTAAAACTTTCTGAAAAAGGAAAGAAAACTTTTAATCAAATGTACATGTATGTACGCATATTTAAGGATTTCTAGACAGTGTACTATTCTAAATAGTACCTGAATATTACCAAGCATTTACTCATTAAGATTAAATCAACTGTAAACTAGGCACCACCGCTGCATGATTAATCACAAAGACAAGAAAATCAAATTTATTATTTTTAAAGTTAATATTCCAAAAACAAAATTAAAAAGTTAATACTCCAAAAACATTCAAATCCATACAGGTTCCAGAGAGAGGTCTAAGATCAAATACTCTGCACCAGAGGAAAATTTTCCTGCGTGCTCAACAAACTCACACTCAAGTATTCAGGTATGAATCGCTGTTCACTAGAGTGACTGACTTACCACTGTACTTTAGAAGAAAACTCAGGACCAGAATGAGTCGAACCCATTTAACAGTGACACAATTTCATCGCGAACCACACTAGTGCCACGCCTGAAGTCAGAGTAAGGGACTTTGTAAAAAATATTAACACGTGCGAGTCACAGGAACGGAACCCAGATAAGGAGGTCCCTCACGTGGGAACTGGAAAGGTGAGAGGGACGAAAGAATTCAATGGGTAATAGGAAGCATCCAGGCTGCTGAGGACACCTCAACTCAAATCTAAACTTCAAGAGGGGTCGACAGTGGTCCTGGAATGCCCTCGCCAGCAGACCTCCTCCTCCACCTTCCCAGACCCAATCTCTAAAGCAGAACCCCCGCCGGGAACCGAAAAGCGGGGAAGGGAGGCATCAGGCCTCGCCTCCTTGCGGCCTTCCTTCCCCAGCCGGGGCGGGAGGAGACCCAGGCAGCCGCGCCCGACTCCCGGGAGGTGGAAGGCCTAGGCCGCGCCTCCTGGCCCCGCGGCCCTAGGCCTCGACCGGCCCAGGCGGGGCCGGGGAGGTCGAGGCGGCGAACCGGGCGCCGGTCACCCACCTGGGTTGCCAGTCATTCCAGCTCCGCGGGTACTTGGTGCCGCCGCCGCCGCCGCTGCTCAGCCGAGACCCCGGGGCTCTGCGGCTCATTACCTTCCCCGACACGACATGGCCAAGCGCCGCCGCCCGAAGAAGCGCGAGTCGCCTCCCAAACCGGCTGCCGCCGACACTCCGCTCGGGTCTGGGGCTGAGGAGGAAGCCGAGGAGGAGGAGAAGGAGGAGGCGGAGGGCGGGGGAGGCGGACGGCCGTTCCGGGTTCCGCCTGAGCCCGCAGCGCAGGACAAGGAGGCGGGAGCGACTCGGCGAGGAGGAGGCAGAGGAGGGGACCTATCTTCCAGGGCCGTGCGTGGCCCGCAACGCCGGGGCCCAGCAGGACGCGGACGGTGAGGAGGCGGTGGCGGTATCTCCTCACGCTCTCTCGGCCACGGCTTCCCCGCCTCCCGGCTCCGCCCGCCGCGCCGCCGCTGCCGCACGGCATGCTGGGAACGAGGGGCGGTGCCGGAGCCCGCCGAGCCTGGGGAGAGGGGCGTGGTCTGTGAGGCGTGTCCGGATCTGGTGGGCGTGGCGTCGCAAGGCGTGGCCGCCGTCACAGCCCCGGGCCTCGCCTTCACGCCCTGCCTACTGCGCTGCAGTCTGGGCACCGCCGCGGAGGATCATGGGAGAGGGGATTCCACCTAGCCTGTAGGTATACACCCTCTGAAACGCTCCCTGGAAAGCATCTGAACCACAGAAAGCGGAGCAGTCGGGTGTCCACGAAGCCCAGTCAAAGACCTGCTGTGAGGGGCGCGGGTGTCCCTGCACCCTCACCCACCTGCATGCCCTTCTGGTTCACAAGCGCCTACCTGCTCACGTTCTTGAGGACAAAAAGTGAAGGGTATGCATGCATACCCACCTTCCCAGCTCGCCCTTAAAAATGTGTTCATTGACTCCGGAATCCTTTGCACAGTGTAAAAAGCCACGAACATCAAACTGTTTCATGCAATTTAAAATGTATATTAAGGCCTGGTTTGTAGCAAAGTGGTTAGAGCATTTGCCTAACGTGTGCAATTTCCTCCTGGGTTTCATCCTCAGGAAACAAAAACAAATTAAAAAAATGTGCTTTGAAATCCTCTCACCCGAACAGTTGCCCACTTTTCCTAACCTAAAAAGTCTAAAGGGGGGCAAATTGAGTACTGTTTACACACACAAACACACATACGTCCCCAAAATAATTTACTAAGTACCTGATACCTTATGTGGATGCAGATACATTTTTAAGAAGATGAATAAGGAGGTGTCATAACCTTATCTGCATAAGGAGTCTTAACCTATCAGTTTGTTACATCTGTTGTGTAATTAAAAATGATTCCCAAAGTACTTCATTATGAGGGCATATCTCTATATATGTTCACCCACCACCACCTTTGGGATCGATCATTCCAGTCCTAAAGGATGGAAAGTCAAAATTTCAAATAAACTTTTCTCCCTCTCTCTGAAATGGTGTTGATATTTGACACAAATAAAGTTCCACTAGAAATTGATGACAACCTGATACATAAAATTGATGGGCTGGAGAAGTCGTTCATAGTAAAGCATTTGCCTGCAGCATGCAAGGCCCTTGGTTAAATCTCCAGCACGCAAAAAGAAAAAAAAAATGATAACAATAAGTAACTTCAATAAAACTGAATGAATTCTTTGAACGAAGACAGATATATCCTATATCATACACAGCATCCTGAAGTGTCCTGGATATCCTCAAATTGCCCACCTCCCTCTTGCTGAGGGGAATATCTGAGGCAGGGTCCTACTATTAAAAAAAAAACCTTTAAGATTGTCCTAGCTAAGCGCAGTGTTACCTGTCTACTTTGGAGGATACCACAACCATATGTTCTTGTTTTGTTTGTACTTGATGCTTAATTACATAAGCAATAATGAACATACAAATCTTTAACATAATGTCTAATCACAATTTTTTTCATTTAACATTTAATAAAATTTGTTGAACACTTACCAACTAAGAATTGGAGGACAAGAAAGTCATCAGGACCCAATTCTTACCCTCCAGGAACTCAGAGTAGGAATTTGAAAAGTAAAACCTACTGTGAGAAATTACTAAACCAGGCATGGTAGTGCACGTCTGTAATCCCAGCACTCAGGAGGATGAGGCAGGAGGATCGTTGAGAGTTTGAAGCCAGCCTGGGCTACAAAGTAAGCTCAAGGCCAGCCTGAACTGCATAATAAGACCCTGTCTCAAAAAGACAAAAAAAAAAAAAAGAATTAATGAATGAAATTACTACAATGTGTGTCTGTTAAATATCTCCTCTCTCCACCCTGCAAACTTCTCTTACTCAGAGCAGAGATGTCTCTTCTCCAAAAGTCTTTTCTTGGGCTGGGGATTTAGCTCAGCAGCATAAGTACCACCTGCCTTGCAAGCATGTGATCCTGAGTTCAATCCCCTGCCCTGATAAAAATTTTTTAAAAAAGTCTTTTCTGTTATAAGTTCAGAGTTTCCTTCCACCCTTTTCCCCCAATTTTTTACATCTTCTGTACGAAGTCAATTGATACTCCCTCCTCTTTGGGACTCTCACACCTATGAGCAAATGGATAATGTGCCAGTTAATCATTTTGACTTCCTTAGTGGTTGATCAAAATAATGCAATGACCAAATTATATGAATTATTCAGAGTCCAAAAATGGCTAGTAGCAATTCCCCTTCTATGTAGCTTCCCAAAAGAGTTTAAAGGTGATATATTACAGGGATACATACATATTCATGTTTATGGCAACAGAATTCATGAATACTGAATGTTGAAAGTGGTGTACATACTCATCAACAGATGAATGCTTAAAGAATTGTAGTATTTTCACATAGTGGAGTACTACTGTGCCCTAAAGAAGAGAAACTTAAGTCATTTGTAGGAAAATAAATGTTTCTTGAGATGATAATGTTAAGTAAAATAAATCAGACGAGTTTAAATATTATATAGTTTCTGTTATATGAGAAATTCAAAATATAAATAAGAGCAAAATGGAAGATTTATAATAGGAAATAGGGAGCTCAAGCTTTTGCAAATGGAAAAAGAACTGAGATATGGAAAGAAGGGAAATGGCAAAGATAGAAAGGGGTTGAAGAAAGATTAAAACATGATATCTTCATATGTCAACTCTCCACAGGGAATGTAATCACTATGTACTACAAACATGTACTAATAAAAAAACTGAAAAAATGTTTGCTTTATGATAACAAAAAAATGATTCGCATCAGAATAACCAGACCTTTAGATCCTTAAGAAAAATTTTGAGTCCTTGTAATCTTTTCAAATCACAAAATGACAACAGAGTAATTCAAGCAATGGTTCTGAATTCAAATTCTGACTTCACCATTTGTTAGAGGAGGAAGAGTGGGCAAGCTCCTGGCTGTTACAGTAAAACGGAAGTAATAATGTTACTGGCCTGGAGCCTGGTGTGGTGGCACACACGCCTGTAATCCCAGTACTCTGGAGGCTAAGGAAGGAGGATTGTTGCAAGTTTGAGAACAGCCTGGGCTACAAAGTGAGCTGATGGCCAGTCTGAACTGCATAGTGAGACCCTGTCTCAAAAAGACAAAACAAAACAAAACACAGTACTGGCCTGGGAATGTGATTTAGGGTGGCACATACCTAACATGGGCAAGGCCTTAGATTTGATGTCCAGCATCACAAAATAAAAATAAAATAGTAGTACCAGCATAGGTACTACTTAGGTACTTCTTAGGGATATTGAGAGAGTTCATAGAAACATTAAAATTCTTGCCTGCAAGGTACATTGCAAAATGCCTGTCACATAGTAAGCAATCTGTAAATGTTAGTTAAAAACCAGAGCTATGATTGTTCTGAGACATAGGATATTTTGACCAATGATGGAGGAGGAAAATAAAGGTTCCTGGAAGAGGTTTTATCCAGTTGCTCAATGTCTTATTTTTTTCTCTTCCCATAGAAATAATAAACCCTTGAAAATATTTAGTGTTGGACAAGGGGTAGTGTGAGAGCAGAGTATCATTTGGCAGAAATTTCCTGGGAAGCAGTTTAACAGTATGTCTCCAAAATCATTAGTACCCTTTCCTCCATAATTCCACTTTTGGTAATCTGTCCTAAAGAAACCCACTGCACATAGCCCAAGCGACTGTCTTTAAAATGAAAATCAGACCATTTCACCATGCTACCTGCAGCCTATCAACAACATCCTATTCATCTTATAATAAAATCCAGACTTGTCATCATAAAGAATATACAAGAAATGTATGTACCATTGTTATCTCCTGACTGACAAACTTTAAAATTTTGTTGCAGTTTTCTCTCTTTCTTTCTTTCTTTCTTTCTTTCTTTCTTTCTTTCTTTCTCTTTCTTTCTTCCTATCTATGAATAAAATGGATTTTAAAAATAACGAATATATAAGAAGCTGTCAAATCTTATCTCTGGGCCTGTGGATGTAGCTCAGCAACAGAGCATTTGCCTACCATAAGCAAGGTCCTGGTTTTGATCCCTAGCATTGCAGAATCAATCAATCAATTGATCAGTCTCTCTTACACTGCCATTATCCCAAAGAAGTTTTAGTTCACCTCTAGAACAGAGTCCTAACTGTGGTTCCCGATTTTGTCTTCACAAAACTCCCCTCGTCTACGTTTCATCCCAGATCCCCTTGGTCAAGGTCCCTTGGCATAGACCCAGGCATCCATAATTTTTTCTTTATCTCCCCAGGATATCCTAACATGCAACCAAGGTTGGGAACCACACTTGAAAGCCCTTAAGCACTAAAAAGTAAAATAAATCAGACGAGTTTAAATATTATATAGTTTCTCTTATATGAGAAATTCAAAATATAAATAAGAGCAAAATAAAAGATTTATAATAGGAAATAGGGAGCTCAAGCTTTTGCAAATGGAAAAAGCACTGAGATATGGAAAGAAGCTCACATCTCAATCCAGTATATGTGAATTATAGACCATGCTAAACCATTGAGGAAAAGATTGGGAGTTTTAAAACACTGCTTGGATATTTAAAACTATGTGTCAAACATGAACACTCTTGGGGCTGGGGATTTAGCTCAGTGGCATAAGCGCCTGCTTTGTAAGCAGGCAGTTGTGAGTTCGATCCCTGGTACCGATAAAAAACAAAAAAGAAAAAAACAAACAAAACATGAACGCTCTCAAAACTTTCAAA